GGGGTGAAGTGGACTGAGTCAGGCTGAGTTGACTGAGTCGGCTTAGGTTTTAAGTGAGTGGTCGGTTAGGGGAATTAGAGAGGGATATGGTCGGGTGAGGAGTTCGGCTACAGGTAAGGGAGAAGAGCCGGATCGGGCAAGGGAGAGGAAGACGACGTCGGGCAAGATGGAGGAGAGCAGAGGGACGACGCCACAGGGGGTTCGGCCGACCTTGGAGTTCGGTGAGTTTGAAGAAAACTCTCTCTCTCTCTCTCTCTCTCTCTCTCTCTGAGATCGAATGAAGCCAAAGGATCGGGAGGAGGTCGGGGCTTCGACGTCGGCTGAGATGGAGGAGTTTGGGATAGGAAATCGGGGTTGGATGGAGATCGGAGGAGGGCCAGCGATCGGAAAATAGGGCTCTGGCTTCGGGTGTGAGTAAGAGTCGGAAGCCAGAGAGCGTCGTGTGAGGTGGAAGAGCTTCGGGACAGAGAGTTCGAACGGGAGAAGAGCAGTCGAATGCTCTCTTTGAGTTGGTATTTAACGACATCTGAGAGCAACGATCAAGGCGACGTCGCAGGATTTGCGGGGGGGTGACCTATTCGGCGTCGATTTCAGCTGGATTTGCGGCATAATTTGTGGATCTGTCGGGCACAAGGTATGTACACGGGATTTTCAGTTTGCTTTTTCCTCTCATCTTTTCCTTTGGGTATAGCATGAGGGTCAACACCGCTCGATTCGACTATAAGCATGCCATATTAAGATGTCAGACATTTGATTTGGGCTCATTTGGGCTCGGATTGGATTAAAATTGATGTTGTTAGGATCGTCTCCTTGAGATGTTCAAATTGACTATACGCTTGCTGAAATTTGAGATTAGATGGTCCCGACTTTAATTTTTTAAGCCAATTTTATTTTTGCATTGATATTCGTGCCCGATCAAGACGAAGAATGTTTGGTGACATATCACTTATATGATTTTTCGTTGAATCGATTGAACTTTGCAACAGTTGTTAACTTGATGAATGAAATCAAACTTTGTAAAAAAACCTTGGTAGTGACCCAAAGACCTTAGTTTTACATTCCTCATTTTACGATGTTTCACACATTGTGGTAATCTCGAGCCTTTGCTTAGTTGACAAACACTTGACCAAGATTATCTTTAAGCTAATCGGTGTTGGGTCAAGATGACTTAATAATCCTATATTTTGAGAGTATAGGAAATGACTCGAGATGCATTATAATACCTTATTGTCTTTCTCAAGGGACTCAAAGTGAACTTCCTTTTTGTACAGTATCCCATGTCAGACATGATGTAGTCTAGATCACTCCTAAGAGATTTTTAAAGTTCAACACCTATACCTACTGAATTTCTTCTGGAGATTTTAGCTATCTCACTAGAATCCTTAAGGCCAACTTTTACTAAGAAGCTATGACTCTATTTGCCCAGGCCTGCACAATCCTTGTTCCGTATTTCTGGGTTAATAGTGAGGCTTGATTCCTGACCCATCCATGAATCCAAAGTATTTAATACTCTCTTTATCGATTACTTTGCACCAAAGTGATTCTGCTTGGTGAAGAGCAAATTTAAGAAAAAAAGAATAACGTGCAGATCAAGCCGTAAACAAGAATGCTTTGCTTAAGGTCTCGGCTAATATAGACAGACAACTAATACGAAGTAAACAACTTTTCATAGCCGAAAGCAACATTTCAGCAACCAAGGCTTCCTTTGGGACGGCTTTCTTGATGCTTCTTAACACAGCTTTTTAGTACAAAAATTTTTAATTTTGTATTAAAAAGTTATTTTAACCTACCTGGCGACAGAGACGGTCCATGGAGTAATGAATTGCTCCTCCGTCGCCTGATCCTCTCCATAGACGTCCTGAACGCCTCCGGCGACCCCAGATTTTGGATCTAGATCCAGCACTGAATCCCCTTCTTCTCTGCGCTCCTCCGTCGACCTCTCCATCGAAATGCCCCTTCCGTTCCCCTCTCCTGCACCGCCGCAGCACCGCACCACCACCGCAGTATCCCTAGGGCGCCACCGCCACTCTCTACTTCTCCCACCGATTCTCTGCTCCCCAAATCCAAGAAGAAAGAAGCTCAGAAAAACATCAGAAGACTTCGCCACACCCCCGACTTATTTATGATTATCCATTACAAAAAGTATTCATAAAATAAAGCTTCAGCCCTTCTCGAGAACCCTAAAATTTTGCCACGTCGTAGCGAAGATTCAAAATTCAGATTTTTCAGATAATGTTCCAAATTTATAGATAGAGAAAACTATAATTTTACCAGAATGCAGCTTTTGTTCAGCGACAGCATGCTTCCTTGAGAGAGAGAGAGTGCTGAGCTGTTCGGGATGAGTGCGAGAGCCTTGGACAAATGGAGAAACAGAGACGCCCGTGTTTAAATAGCACGGTTTATATAGTTGCTAGTGCGTTGGATTTACTCGCGGGGTTTTGTACTGTAAATGAGTCTAGCGATGCTAGTGAGTCTGGACGAGTCAGCTTAAAATCGACTCGGTAAATAATGCATGAGTCAAACTCGATGAGTCAAAATTGAGCCAGGCTGCTAATGCGGACTTGACTCGGTAGCTTGCTAGCCGGCTCTTTTAAAATATTAATATAAAATATATTTAAAATATATTAATATTCGATATTTTAAATACTAAGTTATTGACAATATTTAAAAATTATATTTCATTTTTATATTAAGCTATTCTTTATTTGTTTAATTTCTTATTTTTATCATTTTATTAAAATAATTATTTAAATGATAAATATTGTTAAAGAGCTGGCATGAACTTATGGAATAAAGCTCAAGTCATGCATAACTCAAGCTTGACTCGACTTGTTTACACCCATATGAGTCATTCCTTTGAATTGAAAAAAGATAAAAATTAAAAAAAAATATATCAAATTTTTATCAGAAGCAACTTAAAAATCGCCGTGCATCGGCCATATATCCAATGACTTGCTCCAATGTTGTTGGCAAAAGCAGGCAACAAAGTCGAGTATCAACATTTTTTAGTCGACGATGTTTATCACTCTTAAACGCGATGGCATACGTTGACATTGCTAGCACTGATGTTGTCGGGAGATGGTAGTCTGACGATGGTTGTCGGGCGATAGTGGTTGAGATCTTAGTTCGATATTGGTTAGACGATAGTGGTCAGGCGATAAAACTCATGTGAGAGTGATTGTTGGCAGTGATCATCAATATGTGAAGCTCTAGGGTTCTTGAAATTCACAAGCTCTCTTTAATTTCAGGTCAATATCCAAGCTCCAAGCCTCCTTTCATGTAAAGAAGATGGGCATATTTATAATTTTCTAAAATATTATTTTAATAATTTTAATCAAAATCTCCAAAATACTAAATTAGACAACCAATCTTGATTCCCTCAATTATAAAATATTCTTCTAGTATTTAAGTACTTCAATGAACTCATAATTGAATAATCTTATACGCATTAAATTCCTCTTAGCAAGACACTCATTTTGACTGTAAACACATTTTCATTAATTAAAGAAAGCTCATAGGAGGCATAATATATTCTATAAGAAATATTTAAGAAGGTTAAAATTCATAAGACATACCATAGTTGAAATAATTTCACTAGTGTAATATTATAAAAGACATCCTTCTCAATAACTAGAGAAGGCATTAATACAATGTAATAGACATGAATTACGAAACAACGAGTCTTATTATGTGAAGATAATAATCAATCGGCTTAGTCGAAAACAGAGTGATTGGAAAGATGAGCATTAAATGTCTAATGCAAGCCTTATCAGTTTCCTCCTCCTCCGAAAAAGGAGAGATTATTCTATGCGGAATCCAAATGTATTCGGAGACGAATTTGGACGCGCCACATCACCTGATGCACTGGACCCCGGTGATGTGGCATGCCCGGATTCGCCTCAGAACACATTCGGATTCCGCATAGAATAATTTTCCCCGAAAAAGAGAATGAATGACTCAGGCCAAGCAACTATAAGATGTTGCACATATACAATCACCCAACACAAATTAAAGAGTGATCGCTAGACAAAGTAGATGCAAGTTGCTGAGAATGTTGAGAGAATTTCTTAATAGGAAATGATGAGACATCCTCCGGAAGAGTTCCTGCAAGATATCTCAAAGGCCATTCCCAGAACTTATTCCCGAGAGGATTCTTACAGACTTGCTTTCTGAAAAAGAATTCTGATAGCATGAGATGGGCATGTAAGTGATAATTTGGATTAATCAAATCAACGTGGAATGAAGATGGCAGAGATTCTCCTATATATTCTTAACTACAATGAAGCATTCAAGGCAAGCACTCATGACACCGGACCGGAGGGGGCTCGACGACTCCTCATCGACAATCGGGTGACCATCGCCGGACACAACTCCAAGAACTACTCCTTGGAAAGAAACCACCACCTGAATATACTTCAGGACACAGTAAAGACACGAAACTCAACTCAAATATTAATTCTCCGAATCTGCCTATTACAAATATTGGCTAGGTATTTATAGACAAATGTAATAACATAATAGGCTACACTAAGTAGAAGAAAGCTATATTCTTATACAACCATATAAATTACCAAATGGAATTAATCTAGCCTGAACTTAACATGTTTTAAGCGGCTCAGCTCCGGTGTCAACTCAAGTAATGGAAAGTATAAATGGGAGATGATGCAAAGGACAATGTTACCCATGACGGCTTCAATTGGTGTTGAGGTCTCCAGAGAGGTCACCCTAGCATGGGATGAGGTACTGGGATTGGGAGCCTTGGCATGGAAGTAAGATATCCAAAGGAACAAACTACTCAATGATGGAGGAAAACACAAGTGACAGCAAGGTTCCTTGCACGGAGGGAGAGATTATTATGTGCGGACACCGGACACAGTTTACCGTCAAGAGGTGAATCAGGTGCAGCCACGTCATCCAGTGTCGAACTCGGTACCTAGCAATACCGAGCTCAGTACCGAGTAGGGGGTGACATGGCGCATTTCATTGGGCTCTGGATGGTGTTCGGTGTCTGCACAGAATAATTTGCCTCAAGGAGGAGACCGCTGAGGCTTTCATAGAGGAGACTGACTACTTCTTTTGTCAGATTAACAACCACGATGACAATGACGTTTGAGTCCATACGAACAATGAGGAAGATATTGCTCAATTGAAGGAGCACAACGAAGCAACTCCGCCTAAGGATGAGAAGGAAAATGCTTACAATGAAGCTGAGGAAGAATCTGTAGGCGAAACCAGCGCAAGGCGAATGACAAAGTTGATGAAGAAGGAAACAGGGCATGAGAGGCTGAAGTTGCGAAGCCTTTGCCAGTGAATAATATGCTGTATGGAAAATTTAGATACCAGAATTGATAGAATTACAGTGAAGACGAAGGCAAAATAATCTCTTAGTTAATTACATCAGTGATTTTGTCTCTTTAATTATGATAAGTGATTCTGAATTATAAATATTCTTGCATTTATTTTCTGGATTTATTTATATATTCGATCATCCAATTTAATCAAATGAAGAATTGATTTTTGAAAATAACGATATCATTAAGGCTTCGTTTGGAAAAACTTTCTTACTGCTTCTCAAAGCAGCTTTCTTGAAAAAAAATTAAATTTTTTTATTAAAAAGCTGCTTTAAAAAGCAGTAAGAAAGACATCCCAAACAAAGTCTAATTCTAGCATGAAACATTCAAGACCATGAAAAGCAAGAAAATTTTTGGTGGTGCATGAAGGAATCAAAAGCAATCATCTTTAGAATGGATAGCAATTAGGTCAGTTTTAATTCTGAAAATATTTTGTACGATTCCTACTATGAAATATGACATTAGGTTAGTTAAATCTCTTAAAAATCATATACTTGTAAATAAAACAGATGAAATAGAAGAAGAAAATAATGACATCCCTACAAATCAAACAAAGGATGAGCAAGAAATAAGTAAAATGGAAGAAGACTATAAGGAATAAGTGATCAATCAAGTATTGAATCCCTGACCTCATTAGCTCTTTTGGAATATAAGGTAAAAATTTTTTTATATTTGATTCAAGTTTTTAGTTGTTCTTCAATTAATATTTCTCTTCTTTTATAGCCACTTACCGCACTAAGGGCTCCTAAACTAAGTAAGATTGCTTGAGGCATAATAAGAATAATAAGAAATTGAAAAAAGGTGACTGGTTCCCCCATTTGTTGGAGGTGATAGAAAAAAAGAGAAAATTAATACTTTAAAGAGGGTATTCCAGGAAAGGACATTCCAATTCCCCCAAGTATCCTCATTCTCCCTAAAATACCGTTCCCAAATTCCAAAAACCCTTGACAACAAAGAAGTGAGGGAGTCACGACAGGATCTCGCTAGAAAAGACATCCATAGGACGAGCAACAAGTGTGGTAGAAGAAGAGTTCTTGAGATTGTTAATATCATCCAATGCTAGGATTTACTAAATCCTAAATTTAAGGCAAAATAAAGGAGAAAAGAGATTTAAGATTACGTAGGATTTAAACCTGTCATTAGTAGTTTGATAAAGGTTAAATCCTGCTTAAACCCGATCAAATCTTGCTATCACACAGCCCCTGAAGGTTGTTTGGCTGTAAGTAAGATTTTTTTTTGGTAGAAACTCACAGAGTGGCTTACAATTTTCATAAAAAATGGAATTACATGTCCTTAAAAAATCAAAAGCTCTCTAAAATACAATTTCTGAAGTAAAACCTATAAGCTAATGGTCTTATCTAATACAATAGATTTAGACAATAAAAAAAGAAATGCCAAAAGGATCCAAATAATGTCATCCAGGAAATCGAGACAACAGTAACCACAACAACATAAATCCACAGCAACCACTGAAGCAACCTGCATAAAAAGATTAAAAAAGAGACATGCACTAAAAGTTGGCTTTTCAAGCAGCCCACCAATCCAAAATGCCGACATGAAAGAGCCACCACAGGACAACTCACAGAAACAAAAGCCACAAGGAGCCACACCCCAGCAAGAACACCTACCAAAGAAACATCCAACTAATGCAGCCAACATAGAGAAAAAGAAAAAAGCTAATCTTACTATTTTTTAGATTTCGCTTGCGATGTTTACCAACACGTGAAAAATCATTAAGCATAACACGTCTCACGTTCAAGTCATACACATCATGGAATGAATCATCCTGCTCATTTATATCCTCCACACCAACCTCACAAGGTGAAGAATGTGACCCATCAAGCTAGTCAATTTGCTCCATAGAAGTTTCCCTTGGCCTGGCAATCACTTGAGCTTTCAAAGCATTAGTAGAAATGATAGCAATTGGCACATCAACAAGAGGCTCAATCCCAATAGGCCCCATAGGCGAGGGCGTTAAAGCATCAGAACAATCCAAATCTGCTAAATGAGAAGAATCTTTAATGCCCTTAATATCCGACATAACAGGAATACAATTCACATGATATGGGACATCCTTATTAGAGTTCGGAAGCTCGGGCCCAACCGACAACCCCACTACACCAAAAGGGGCAGTATTTTCAAATTAGCAAATCTTAAAGGATTTAATATATCACGTAAATCTAAATTAGCAAATCTTAAAGTTGTTAAAAAACTATTTGGCCTGTGACTACAAAATGTGGCTAAATCCTGGCAAATTATATGACAAATGTTTTTAGAACTCATGATTTACATGGAAGAAAGATTTGACAAGAAATTTAATTGGGTGCTTTTTATGGAGGGTTGGGCTTGACGATGAGATTTCGCAATTAATATGCTCGGCTAAATCTCAAATAAAAAAATATAAACCACGACAGTATCTGATATACCCTGCAATCAGGTTTATTGAGGAGGTCTCACTAGTTACATTCCAACTTTATTAATATTTTTTAAATAATCCAGGTTAATCTTGCAACTAAACAGACCCTAGTGAGGTCAAAAAGAATGATTTATTCTGTAAAGAAAAAGGAAATTTTGAATCCTAGCAAGAACAAAAACATTCATATAATATCATATCATCCGCAGATATATATCTTTAAGCACCAAGCAATTAGATATAAGAACAATAATGCACAATACAAAAGAAAATTTACCACTGAGATCGATCATTTCGACTCAGAATTCTTCTTCAAACAAGTATTGTTCAGTCGCTCAATGGCCAGAATCAACGCCTGCGTCCCTAAATTGCCCTCCCCGTATGCTATCAAAGAAACATAAAGCTGCTGCGCCAGCGCAAGTCCCGGCAACGCTAGGCCCATGCTTTGGCATTCCTTCAAACAGATTCCAAGGTCCTTCACAAAATGATGAACATAGAACCCCGCCTCCATATCCCTCTCAAGAATCCTCTTCCCGTACAATTCCAAAGATTTCGATCCCGCCGCCCCTGTTGAGATGGCCTCCATCCATTTCCCGACGTCAAGCCCAGCCTTGTGAGCATAAACCATCCCCTCCACGAGCCCCACCATAGTCGACGCGATCGCGATCTGGTTTCCGAGCTTGGCCCTCTGCCCCGCCCCAGGCCCACCCATGTATCTAACAGTCCCCATACACTGGAAGAGAGGGGTCAAGCGGCCGACAGCGGCCTCTTCGCCTCCAGCGAAGATGGAAAGAGTTCCGTTACGAGCACCTCTGTCGCCGCCGGAGACGGGAGCATCGACAGAGAAGCAGGAGGCAGCACGAGCGGCTTCGTATATTTCAGCGGCAAGGGTTGGGTCGGAGGTGGTCATATCGACGAGAAAGGAGCCGGAAGAAAGTCCAGAAATCACACCTGATTCGGGATCGAGGGTGGCCCGGCGGACGTCAGAAGGGTAACCGACAATTAGGAAGACAACGTCCGAGGAGCGGGCGACGGCGAAAGGGGAATCAGCGAGGCGAGCACCTTGATCAACGAGGGATTGGGCTTTTTCCGGGGTTCGGTTGAAGACGGTGAGGGAATAACCAGCGGCAAGAAGGTGTGAGGCCATTGAGCGGCCCATGACGCCGGTGCCGATCCACCCGATCCGAGTGGTGGAAGGGTTTATCGTTCCATTCGATGAAGTGATCGACGACATGGAGGCTGGAGATGAGAGGAGGAGATGGTGGAGGCGGATGCGATCGAAGAGAAGCGAGTCGGGCCGGCTACGGAGAGCTCGAAGGACCGGGAGCATGGAGGAAAAAAACGAGTGGGAGTTTGGAGTGGAAGCGGGGTCTGTTTGATTTCCGAATATACCCCTTAAAGGATAAGGCTGAGGCTGGGTTGCCGTCTCTTTGGCAGGATTCGTAATTATGTATTAAATTTAGGGTTTTGAATGAGTCAAATCAATTCCGGCTTGTGAGTCAAATTGGAGAAGGTAATATTTTGCCTTAATGATTTGTTTGGAACAGCTTTTTTATACTTCTTAAAACAGCTTTTTAGTACGAAAATTTTTAATTTTGTACTATAAAACTGATTTAAGAAGCAAAAAGAAAGTCGTCTCAAACAAAGCCTAACTCGACTCATTAGCTCATGAATTAACTTTTTTTAAAAAAATATTATTATAAAACATACTTAAAATATATTTTAAAAATATTTAAAAATTATATTACACTTTCTTATAATAAATGATTATTTATTATTTTTCTTCAGTCACGTCGTCAAATACCCTTTCGAGGGTGATAAATGGTGGATACCTCGTTCTAAAAAAAGGAGGACTAAAATAAAATTTAAAAACACTAAATATATATTTAAATTGAATATAATATATAAACAATTAATTAAAATTTATATTATATTTATGTAAAAATAAATATTATTAAAGTTAACATTTATCCTAATCATTTTTTTTTACCATTTTTAAATGGATAGCCGTACGGGTTCGTTGCAAGAAGAGCGAGTTTCCTCATGCAAATGCGTCAGTGAGTCCACTATATAAAGCGAGCAACTGGCAAGAACTCTCGATGCTCATCGCCGTCTTCTACAGAGGCTAACTAACCCTCCAGGTTGAAGGTGACGGAAAAGTTCCAATGGAAACCCTAGCTATCTCTACCCGATTGCCATCGCCGACTCTCCATCTCCAGTTCCGATCCCCCGCCGCCGGTGCTTCCGCTGTAAAGAACCCCTTTACGGCTTCGCCGATTTCCCTCCGGCATCACCATCGCCCGCTTCTACCCTCCCTTAGACGCGCGCTTTCTCCTCCTCCCTCCGCTCTCTTAGGTGAAGCAATCCGACGCTAGGAATGAATGTCCAATGGTTCCCTGAAATCATATAGGAAACAGGCTTAGATTCTTGATTGTATTTCCAGATGACAAGGAGGAGGCAGGGAGATTTAAGGAAGCGTCGAAGAATGGCTGCAATATGGTGCCGCTGTACCGATGCATTTTCTCCGATCACTTGACGCCCGTGCTCGCCTACCGCTGCCTAGTAAGGGAGGACGAGAGGGATGCTCCCAGCTTCTTGTTCGAGTCAGTGGAGCAAGGTTCTTTAGGAACCAATGTGGTATTCTTTCGATTCCTTTTTGCACTTTCTTTGCATTTTTTTGGTTCTTGGGATTACTGATATCCGTTCATTATTTGCGAGAAATTAATTGGAGTTAGATAAATTTTGTTCATGGGTTGTAATTGAAAGGTTTTATTTACATTTGTAGTCTTTTCGCTTTAGCGAATGAGGATCCTGCAAGGGATTGAAAAAATACCTCTCCCTTACCAGTTTTGAAAAAGTAATCTATTAATTCGATATGAAAGCATCATAGCATATACATTTAATTTCATATAAAAAAGAATTACTCAGATTTCTTGATTATTTTGTTATGTTTTAATTTCAAATAGATGTAATCAAATTTCTTGATTATTTTTTTAATCCCCGTGCGGGTATTATTTTTCTTGATGACAGCATCATAGCATAGTATCATTTAATTTCATATAAAAAAAGAATTACTGATCAGATATCTTGATTTTTTGCTATGTTTTAATTTCAAACAGATGTAATCAAATTTATTGATTTTTTTTTTGTGTTAATTTGAAATAAGAAAAAAAAAGAATTACTTAGCCTTTTTTTATTATTTTGTGATATTTAGGGTCGCTACAGTGTAGTGGGAGCTCAACCAGCGATGGAGATTGTGGCAAAGGAGAATAGGGTGTCTATATTGGATCATGGAGCAGGCTATAAGACTGAGAAAACAATGGAGGACCCAATGGAAGTTCCTCGAACAATCATGGCGGGTTGGAGTCCACTGCTCATTGATGATCTCCCTCACACATTTTGTGGTATGAAACTATTCATTAGAAAATGTTTTCTTACACTTCTTTGGAAATTAACGAGTGTTTATGTTTCAAGTTTTTGCACTTTGGCCTGTCAAAGCTCCACTTGTCTTTTAGTGGTAGCTAGAATGGGGTTGGGTTTGACCGCATTTGGTACTCTTATTGAATTCATTTACGTGATTATGCTGTTTTTAAATATTAAAAGTAAAATTTACTCCTATAAAATTGATTAGCTTAAATTTTTATAATTAAAGTAGCATTAAACTTAATTTATATAGCTTGATTTCTTAGATCTATGATCTATCGTCAAAACATTATTATTGTAATTATTATCTTCTTTTCTTTTTCTTTCGTTCCCTTATAATTTGGAGCCTAGATCATTTCTTCAGGAATGGAAAAAAGCATCAGCCCTTTCAAAACTAGACATATTAAATAGGAAGTCACCAAAGCAGCAGACCATCAGGAATTTAGATGCTTCAGTGAGAAAGTTTCTAATTTTCCAGGCAATTTGAGTTATTTCTTGGTGATTTTTTTTCATTTTCTGTGCTTAATTCCTTCAAAGGTTTTTAGCAACAAACTTTAATTTGCAAGGACATACCATTCAAAACACCAGAAAAATGAAGAAGCCTTTTACTTGAATCCAACAAGCTTATATACGATTGCTTTGCAGGTGGATGGGTAGGATATTTTTCTTATGACACAGTGCGATATGTGGAGAAGAAGAAACTTCCTTTCTCTCGTTCGCCAAAGGATGATAGAAATCTCCCAGATGTACATTTAGGCCTCTACAATGAGGTGATTGTGTTCGATCATGTTGAAAAGGTACACTTTCTCTAACCACAGAGAGATTTTAGTTTCATTATTTTATGAATCTTATTGCTGATGTGTTATAGAGGGATGCTCTTGGTATGGTATAAATGACATCACTAAATGTTGGAAGGAGTTATGGATTACTAGGGCTCCAGCTAGACACAACCATATTAGTGATTAGACAAATCATTAATTCTAAAAAGCAATAGATATGGACCACCATAAGTATATTAGATCCCTAACCACTTGTTCATTGTTGATGTGAGAGATTATTTGAGCCTCTCATGTATATCCCAACTTCAGAATGATTTTATTGGTATGACATGCAAGAATAGTCCTTGACGAGAGACAAATGCCACCAATGAAAAGAGCTTAAATATACGAAGGGAATCTAAATAGATAGATGAGAGAAAAACCAGGGATCGAGAAAGGGAGGTAGAGGAAGATGTTAAGGAGGTAGTTTTAGGAGAAGAAATATTATAACCATAATTTTAAATTCTACCTTCCTAAGTTAAGCTAATACTTAAATTTAGAAAATCATAGAAATTATTGATTTATAGTCGATAAAAGTTGGTGGTTTAAACATAGATAAACAAACAAAATGAACGAAAGGGAATAACAGAACATCTTGTGGTCTTTTAGAATCCAAACGAATGAATGATAGAGAAATAAGGGATGAAATGTTCTAATAATCATTTTAAGTTCTGCCTTTCTAATTTAGTCTAATATATAAATTTAAAAATCAAAGAAAAGGTAGATTTAAAAACATAATAATAAAGATCTCTTATTATTAATTAGAAAATGTAGATTCCAATAGATAAATTAATCCTTTAATTAATATATAAAAATTTATAAATTTAATTTGAGCTAATTTGGACATGAATCTTGACAAATTTAATAATATTCTTGAAAAACCACTAAAAATTCTCTTTGATCATGCACGAATTTTGATGCAAATTTGAATTGGAAACCTTAAAATTAAATTTGGGACCATATGAAGTTTAACTTTAGCAAACTCATAATCTAATTGAACTTCTAAGTGAGATGAACTCAACGACACCAAAATCGGTCTAATTCAAGCCCAAAAGGGACCAAAACATATTTGGAAGATTCAAAGTATTTATTGAATGACCTAGTGATATCCTCTAAATATGACATTCTTATAAGCCTTTCTTTATAATACTTGAAAATAATTTTCATTTTTTTGACTGTAAGAATGTCATGCTTGGATATCACTAGGTCATTCAATAAATACTTTGAATCTTTCAAATATGTTTGTTCCCTTTATTTGGACTCATTTGGGCTCGGATTAGACCGATTTTGATGTCTTTGAGTTCATCTCACTTAGAAGTTCAATTAGATTATGAGTTTGCTAAAGTTAAACTTCAGATGATCCCAAATTTAATTTTTAAGGTTTCCAATTCAAATTTGCATCAAGATTCGTGCATGATCAAAGAGATTTTTAGTGGCGTATCAAGAATATTATTAAAAGTGTCAAGATTCACGTCCAAATTAGGTCAAATTAAATTTAGAAATTTTTATATATTAATTGAAGGATTAATTTATCTATTGGAATCTACATTTTCTAATTAATAATAAGAGATCTTTATTATTATGTTTTTAATTCTACCTTTTCTTTGATTTTCTAAATTTAAGTATTAGACTAAATTAGAAAAGCAAAACTTAAAATGATTATTAGAACATTTCGTCCCTTATTTCTCTATCATTCATTCGTTTGGATTCTAAAAGACCACAAAATGTTCTGTTATTCCCTTTCGTTCATTTTGTTTGTTTATCTATCTATATTTAAACCACCAACTTTTATCAATGACTATAAATCAACAATTTCTATGATTTTCTAAATTTAAGTATTAGCTTAACTTAGTAAGGTAGATTTAAAATGATGGTTAGAATATTTCTTCTCCTAAAACTACCTCCTTAACGTCTTCCTCTACCTCCCTTTCTCCCTTGTTTTTCTCTCATCCATCTATTCAGATTCCCTTCGTATATTTAAGCTCCTCAATGGCAAATTATTGCATCCGGTCACCGGACGGGGAAAATAAGTTCGGACATCTAATAAAATTTGTCGCGTCACCTGCGCTTTTGACTTGCGCTTTACCTGTGCTTTCCTTGCGCTTTACTTGCGCTTTACTTGCGCTTTTGACATGCGCTTTACCTGCGCTTTACCTGCACTTTACCTGCGCTTTATTTACGCTTTAATTACGTTTTACCTACACTTAATTTAAAATAATATTTTATTAATATCCGCACCTATCTCCGCGTCCGATGACCAGATGCAATGGCATTTGTCTCTCCTCAAGGACTGTTCTCAAGATCGGACAGTTTTTTTTTTAATGATTTGTTTTTAACGTTCTGTTTGTTTTTTTTTTCTTACACAGCTCACCTTGGCCTGTTGGTTGAGAGCTTATGCTTCCAACTATATAAGAGGTCTTGGGTTCGAGTAGTTGTGTATGCGTTGTGTGTGTGAGTTTGCCTTAAATGACCTAAATGTCCCCAAAAAAAAAAGTTTTTTTTTTTTAATGATCTGCTTTCGCACCTCGCAGCCTTCCGTATTGAATAGCAAAGTTTTGTAGGCTGTAGCAATTTTTTTTTTTTCTAAATAGCAAATTTATGTAGACATGCTTTTTTCTTGAATAGCAAAGTTTTGTAGCAATTATTATTTTTTTAATAGCAATGTTCTGTACCAATAAGCTCAGCAAACATATCTAAATCTGAGGAAGACCGAAGGGGAAAACAAGTATAATCAATATAAGACAACTGAGGAAGGACAAATTTGTGTAGAAAATGATTTTTTTCTGAATAACAAAGTTCTGTAGGCTGTAGCAATTTTTTTTTTTCTAAATAGCAAATTTATGTAGACATGCTTTTTTCTTAAATAGCAAAGTTTTGTAGCAATGATTTTTTTTTTTAATAGCAATGTTCTGTACCAAGAAGCTCAGCAAACATATCTAAATCTGAGGAAGGCCGAAGAGGAAAACAAGTATAATCAATATAAGATAACCGAGGAAGGACAATTGTTAGGAAACGATGAACCAAATACAAAGAGAAATAGTAAAGAAAATTCAAAAATATCCTTACAATCAAAATTTGTTCTCAAAATGCTTGATCGGGCAAGTCGAACTCTGTCAAGGGGGCGCTGGACCACGACATATCTGTGAAGCGTACAATGATCAAAGATATGAACAAATAGGGGTCGAGCCAACTTTAAGGCAAAAAAAAAAAAATCTCTAAATATTCTTGAAGTTGAAAAATTACTTTTTGTTAAGGAAAAATAAATATTAAAAAAATCATATAAAATAGAGAAGAATACGAAAATTAAAACAAGTTTTAAGTAGTTATTAAGTTATTTAAATAATATATTTTAAAATAAAGAGAATAAATGATTTGACAACAAAAGTTATTTAAATAATATATTTTTAAAATAAAATAAAAGAGAGAATAAATTAGTTTTTATTTAATATACTTTTAATGCTTCAAACTTGATTGAAGTTTTTAGATCTGCTATCTTTTATCTTAACTATGCTATATATTTTATCATCATTTAAAATATATTATTTGTTAAGAAATGATTGAAGTCTATTATATAAATCATAACAATTTATAGCTTAAGTTATTTAAATATTATATTTTAAAATAAAAGAGAATAAATGATTTGACAACAAAAGTTATTTAAATAATATATTTTTAAAATAAAAGAGAGAATAAATTAGTTTTTATTTAATATACTTTTAATGCTTCAAACTTGATTGAAGTTTTTAAATCTGCTATCTTTTATCTTAATTATTCTATATATTTTATCATCATTTAAAATATATTATTTGTTAAGAAATGATTGAAGTCTATTATATAAATCATAACAATTTATAGCTTTTATTTTGCTTTCTACATTTTGCAAGACCTTAAGTTTTGTTATCATCATTTAAATCTCAATAGCATTTGCCTTTTCAGCTTTTCTCACCCTTTAAGACATGTTTTTTTTTTCTTACAAGCCTTTTGTGTTTGATTTGTTTTTAAATTTCCCTAAAGCCTCTATGTCGTCAATATTTTCTTTTTTATGTCGACCAGCATCAAGTTTTTCTAAATTAAAGAATTTCAATCTACCTTTTTTAATAACCTTTCTTGAAACTTTGATAATTTCTTATATTTTAAATTCCATCACATTATCCTAAGATAATTATAAGATAATTATTCATTTTAATTGTTTTTCTTATTCTACAAAAGCATGCATCAATAACTACTGCTCTATGTTATGTTATCAACGTTAATCATAGAATCAACACACAATCTTTGGAATTTTTTTCTTTTCTTTTAAATAACACGAAGTTTATATATGATTTGGCTGTGCCAATCTTAGATTTAGTTGACTCTTATTGAGTCACTTAGTGTTGCAACCTTATAACAGCAAGTACTAATAATTAATTTGCGTAGAGTTGAGTTCTTTGGAAGTAATTTACATAGAAGTTTAGTAAATGAAATAAAAGTATGATATTTTTAGGGATATTTAAAATGATAAAAGTGTTATTCCTAATTGTTTTAGAGATAAGCATTAGTTTTTTTTTCCTTATTTGGGTAAGAATTTTTTATAACGGCTAATGTAGGAGTTTTTGCGACGATGATAACTGCTAAAAACAAATAATGATGCACTTCTGGGTTGTGATTCTTAAGGCTATAATAATTGTTTTCTTGCCTTAGAAAGCATTTGTCATTCATTGGGTTCACATTGATCAATATTCCTCCGTTGAGGATGCTTATAAAGATGGGAAGAACAAGTTGGAGAATTTGCTAGCACGGGTACACAATAGAGTTGTGTGAGTAACTTATACCAGTATCCTTCTCGTTCTTTTGCCAGGACTCGTGTTTTTCACTTAGATTTTATTTGAGATGACTTTTTTACTGTTTCTTAAAACAGCTTTTTAGTTTAAAAATTAATTTTTTTATACTAAAAAGCAGCTTTAAAAAGCAGAAAAAAAATTGTCTCAAACGAAGCCTTACAAAGATTTCTTCTGCTTTTCTTTTTCAGACCAAGGCTCAGTTCTGGTTCGGTTAAATTGCAAACTCGCCAATTTGGCAGTTCCTTGAAGATGTCATCCATGACCAATGAAGCATACAAGGAAGCTGTTACGAGGGCAAAAGAACACATTCTTGCAGGAGATATCTTCCAAGTGGTCCTGAGCCAGCGGTTCCAAAGGTCTACATTTGCTGATCCATTTGAAGTGTATCGTGCATTAAGAATTGTGAATCCAAGTCCCTATATGACTTATTTGCAAGTGTGTATTCCCTCTTTCAAAATTTCCATTTTTATCGATCTTATTTCCGTTTACAATATATATAGCTTTCCTTTGATTTTGATTCTAATTTCAAACTTTTTGTTTATTGATCATCTAGGCAAGGGGTGCCATCTTAGTAGCATCAAGCCCTGAAATTCTTACTCGAATGAAGAAGGTAAAGCTTATCCTTATATAATCTGTTAGTTGTATGTTATTTGTGCAGGGCACCCATAGAAAAAACTAGAAAGATGATAAAAACAAAAAGTATGATTTTTTTTTTAATAAAATTAAAGAAGAAAATTTAAAGCTTTAAGCTCATATCTTTTTGCTTTAGTCACGCACTTCCTTACTAGACATTTGCAAAGGATGTACATTGGTGTATACTTTTTGTTGATGATATTGTTCTTACCGATATGACTAGATAGGGAGTTGATGAAAAACTTGAATTATGGAGGTCAACTTTAGAGTCTAAAGATTTTATTTGAATATTGATAAATACTATGTTATAACCTCAGTATACATTTTATGTGCAGAAGAAGATCGTGAGCCGACCACTTGCCGGGACTATTAAAAGAGGCAAGACAATCGAAGAAGACAAGAAACTTGAAAAGATACTACTAAGTGATGAGAAGCAATGTGCCGAACACATTATGCTTGTCGATTTAGGGCGTAACGATGTCGGAAAGGTTCATTTATTGCAATTATACTGGAATTTTATGTCGATTTCATTCATCATTTGTCCACTGTTAGGCTGCCTTATAAGATGCCCTTTGTCATCTTTACCTTGTCAAATTTATGCTACCGCTGATTGCTGTTAAAATCCAATTTCTTTTTTGATTAATTTATCTTTATCGAATGTGTTCCTCTAATACAATGAAACTTCTGATAAATTCTCACCTATACTTTAAGCGTCAGAATTTTTAATACAGTTTTTGCTGCAGGTCTCAAAGCCAGGTTGTGTCACAGTTGAGAAGCTTATGAATGTCGAAAGATACTCCCATGTGATGCACATTAGCTCCACGGTTAGACTCTCCCTGTTCTAAGAAAGCAACATTTCATTAATGTTTCCACCGTTTTAGCTCGTCAAAGGGTGAATGACAGCAGATTTATTGTAAAGATAGAACAAAATTTTTAAAGAGAGTGCAGTTTACATTTACTATAAGAAGATGTTTATAGAGTACACATTGTTTGTTTATGATCCATTTGTCCTCTTTTCACATATTTAGAATCAGTAAATGCTGCAGTTATAAATTACTTTCTTTGCTGACTCAATGTAGGGGAATGGGGACTCGTGCTTCATTTGGAACAGCTTTCTTATTGCTTCTTAAAGTAATTTTTTAGTAAAAAAATTAAAAGTTTCTACTAAAAAGCTGAAGCTGTCTCAAATGAAACCTCAGATTTGCATTTTATGCTCAACCATTTGTTGTACAACTTCATACATTTATATTCACTTGATTCATTGGACTGAGGTTTAACTTCATTAAGCACTAAATATTCAATTTTCTTCTTGAGCTCTGCAGGTTACTGGGGAGCTGCTTGACCATCTCACATGCTGGGATGCTCTACGTGCTGCATTGCCAGTAGGAACAGTCAGTGGAGCTCCTAAGGTTTTACCCTCTTTTATGATTCTTATAACTGACCATCCAAAATAGAGAACTTCGCGTTGATTATTCAAACCTTTGGTTTCCATATGACTGTCCTTCATTTTCAAATCTTAGGCTTCGTTAGGGACGGCTTTCTTACTGCTTCTTAAACAACTTTTTCCTACAAAAATTAAAAATTTTGTAATAGAAAGCCGCTTGAAGAAGCGATAAGAAAGCTGTCACAAACGAATCCTTAATAAATTTATAAAATTTGATAGAATTTAATCTCCAATATGACCATCCAACATAGAGAACTTCACGCTGATTATTCAAATCTTTGGTTTCCATATGATTGACCTTCATTTTAAAATCTAAGGCTTCATTTGAAACAGCTTTATTATTACTTCTTAAAGCATCCTTTAAGGCAAATTCACACGCACAACGCATACACAAAGACTCGAACCCAAGACTTCTTAGTTTAAAGCCTAAGCTCTCAAACCAATAGGACAAAGTGAGCTATGTAGAAAGCTTCTTTAAGAAGCAATAAGAAAGCTGTTCCAAACGAATCCTTAGGGGCTGTTTGGTATCGGATTTACAGCGGGATTTAAGTCGGATTTAAGTTAAATCCAGCCAAACAGTTTTTGTGCGCGCGTTAAATCCCGGGATTCGTTAAATCCCGGATTTACGGATTTACGGCTTAAATCCGGGATTTACTAAATCCCTCAGTTCGGTGGATTTAGCGGGATTTAAAGTTAGGCGGAAAACTTACCCGCGGCGCCCGTGTCGTCAAGCAAAACCGTTGCCCTTATTTGCCGAAAGGAACGAAGCCATCGCTCTACCCCGTCGCCTCGACCTCTCCGATTTTTCTTCTTCTACCCCAGAGCGTTGCTCCGACTCATCCTCTCCCATATTTCTTCTTCTTCCCCAGGCTGTTGCTCCGACTGAAACCTCTCCCATTTATTTTCTTCTTCCCCGAACTGTTGCCTTCCTCAGACACGTGCTAAACAGATTTTTCCTTTCTCTGATTTTTGGTAGGTGAGAGCTTCTTGACTAGGTGTTTATTTATTTTCCCTGATTTTTCCTTTCTCCGATTTTTTCTTTCTCTGATTTTTATTTAGGTGAGAGCTTAATTTTTTTTTCCTGCAATGTGTAGATAGAAAAAAAAATTTCATGTGTTTTTTCTTTAAAATTTTCTCACTGATGTATAAAAATCTACATAACTTTTTGTATTGTACTATTTTCATACTAGATTAATTTGTTAAGAAAATTTCCTTTCAGTTAAATGAAGTTGCCGTAGTTCATATATTTGTATGTCCAATTTTTTTAACGCTACAAATAATTGATTGGTAGTACGGTTGTTAAGCAAATTAAAATCAGAATGAAGCATTCCTTTTACACCGGATTTGTCATTTTGGTGCAATATTGCTTTGTACTTTGCTCTTTATTGAATTTTCGATCATTTTGTGAGAACTCAAGTTTGTTTAATGATGTTTTATGCAATGATATTTATCTCATAAATATATGTTTAAATTTTAAATTCCTAACTGCCATAAATCCGGAAATATGTTACCAAACAGTTTCTCAGGATTTAACAGGATTTAACATATTGCATACCAAACAGTTTTCAGGATTTAACCCAATTCAGATTTACTAAATCCGGATTTACAGGATTTACTAAATCCCACTAAAGTTAAATCCCACTAGTTGCCAAACAGCCCCTTAATGTCCATTTTTAAACAGGTAAGAGCCATGGAATTGATTGACGAGCTAGAGGTGACAAGAAGAGGGCCGTACAGCGGCGGGTTTGGAGGAATATCTTTGTCCGGTGAGATGGACATCGCACTTGCTCTCAGGACCATCGTCTTTCCCACTTGCGACCGTTACAACACTATGTACTCCTACAATCACATTCACCGGCGGCAAGAATGGGTGGCGCATCTCCAGGCGGGCGCCGGCATAGTGGCCGATAGTGTTCCAGATGACGAGCAGCGCGAGTGCGAGAACAAGGCCGCAGGTCTTGCTCGCGCCATTGATCTTGCAGAGTCAGCTTTTGTGAACAAGGACGATTAGTTTCAGAACTCCTTGAACCATCACTGTGAGTCATTACTAGGATTCATCAAGCTGTTTGCCAATAATGAAGTCTTGCTTCTCCATTACAATCGATCTCTGTCATCTTATCATATCAGGGAAAGAGAAAAATTTATCTTGAGATTAATAAAATGAGTAAAAGCTCAAAATAGTTCATTGAATGTTGACAAATGTTCAATTTAGTCTCAGAGTGTTACATTGATCTAATTTAGGTTCCGTTTGGGACGGTTTTCTTTCTGCTTCTTAAAGCAGCTTTTTAGTATAAAAATTTTAATTTTTGCAATAAAAAACCGCTTTAAGAAGCAAGAAGAAATCCGTCCCAAATGAAGCCTTAGACTCTCAACTATCAAAAGTTGATTCGATTTTATTTCAAAGCTTAAAATAAGAGTTAAAGTTAACTCCATAGTTAAATATGAATGATATTTTAGGTACTACTAGTGAATATGAGATTATATTGATTCTATTGCTCAATTTTATCATTTAATAAATTATAATACATATTTAATCTACTACATAATAAGGATGAATAAATAATGAAAGACGAGTGACCTTGCCTTCAAGCGTTTTTGGTAGATCTTCTGTTAATTTGATTACAAAGAATTTTTTTTATACTTAATTTTAATAATGATTCATTAAGATATTAATTATAGTAATTAAAAGTTAATTAACTTAATTAATATTGAATGTGATAAATATCATATTATTTAAAAATTTTAACTCTGAAAAAAGTTATTAAATAATTTTTAAAAATTGATAGAATTTTATCTGCAATATGCCAAATAATTTTCTTTACTTAATACCTCTGGATTTAATAAATTGTCTTTAGTAGGTTTACTAAAACAACCTCTATTTGATTTGATTAAAAATATGCATTATATTTGAAATTGTTTAAATATGTGAAAACAAAATTGAAATTATTTTTTTATTTACTTGAAGAAAAATGAATGTAATGTAATATAAATTGATTATGAGTGGTGGCCGTCACTGGCAATAACATAATTGACGATAGTGAACTACGGAAGTCAGTGGCGACAATGAAAATGACAATCGCCAGGGGGGCAGTGAACGATGGCTAATGGCAACAACCATGGGTGTAAAAGAATCGAATTAAGTGAAGTCGAGTAATTGGCTTATCGAGCTGATCTTTTTTTAATTTCCACAGAGCTCGAGCTCAGTCAGTGAGATCGAATTCAACTCGTTGAAAAAAATTCAAGCTCAAGCTCGGCTCGATTGGTTGTGCTCATTTAAGAAGTTCGAGCTTGACTTATTTATTGAGCTCGAACTTGTCTAGAAAGCTTAAGCTTGACTCATTTAATTAATTTTAAATTACAAATTTCATTTTTTTTATTTATTATAATGTATAAATAAAATATATTTTCAACTTGTGCACTAATTTTCACTTTACATTAAGTAATTAAATATCAAATTGAAACTTATCATGCTATATCAAATGGCCTATTTCCTTACATCTACAAATTTAAAATATTTTAAGTCTAATTTGACATTTAAATCATTCTAATACAAAATGAAATTAAGCTGATTATAATTATCTAACAAAAAGTGGTGATGAAACAAGTAAAATGGTGCTAGGAAGAATTAAAACGACCGTTGCAAAAAATATGGAATACATAGAAGTTCTGTTCAATACAACTTATCAAGAAAAAAAGAATCAACAAGCAAAATGCTAAAATAAAATAAACACCATAAATGTTGAGCTCTTTGTCACGAATATCACCAAGAAGTTTGCTGCAACCAATCTCCTGCGTTATCTAAGCAGAATCAGAAGACTGTCATGAAAGATCATATACGACACATTAAAAAAAAACTCTAAAAAAAACTGACATCACTGAGACATTCAAATGTCCATCAAACTGTTCATGATCAAGGGATTCAACATCGGCCGTCTATCCAAGTCATTCCCCATATGTCCTTGATCTTCCATATTTTTACGGGTCATGTCACTCTAGGAAATCTATAAATAACATCCCACTTGAAAGGGGGCTTCAAGCAAGAGAGCAAGAGAGAGATCAGAGATCGCTCTTGCCTTCTCGCTCCTCCTCGGCCACAGCCTAAGTTCCGCCGGACCATTAATTTAGGCTATGAGCTCCACCGAACCACCACTTGAGGCCCTGAGTTCCGCCATATCACCTCTTGAGGCCCTGAGTTCCGCCGGACCAACATTTAAAGCCTTAGAGTTCCGCCGTACCATCACTAGAGGCCCTGAGTTTTTTCGGACCACCACTTGACACTCGGAGTTCCGCAAGACCACCACTTGTGGCCCTGGAGTTTCGTCGGACCATCATTGGAGCCCTGAGTTCTGCCAGACACCACTTGAGGCCCAGAGTTCTGCCGAACCACCACCTGATGCCCGGAGTTCTGCCGGACTACCACCTGAGGCCTGGACTTCTGCGGTGGCCCGGACTTTTGTCGGACCACCACCTGACGCCTAGAGTTATGTCGGACCACTACCTGAGGCCCGGACTTCTGTCAGACCACCACCTGAGGCCCTGACTTTTGTTGGACCACCAACTGAGGCCCGAACTTCTATCGGACCACCACATGATGCCCTGGTTCTATCGGACCACCACCTCAGTCTCAAACTTCTATCGGACCACTACCTGATGCCCGAAAATTTGTCGTACCACCACATGAGGCCCGGACTTCTGCTGTACCACCACCTGACGCCCGGAGTTCTATCGGACCACCACTTGAGGCCCGGAGTTCTGTCGAACCACCACCTGACGCCCAAAGTTCTGTCGGACCACTACTTGAGGCTCTGACTTCTGCCAGATCACTACCTGATGCCTGGAGTTTTGTCGGACTACCACATGATGCCTAGACTTCTACTGGACCACCACTTAACGCCCGGAGTTCTGCCAGACCACCATATGAGGCTTGGACTTCTATCGAACCACCACATGACACCCGAAGTTTTTTGGACGACCAGCTGAGGCCTAGATTTCTATCGGACCACCACCTAATGCCCCGAATTCTATCGGACCATCACTTGAGACCTAGACTTCTGCCGAACCACCACCTAACACCCGTAGTTTTGCCGGATCACCACCTGAGGCCTTGATTTCTGCCAGGCCACCACCTGATGCCAAGAGTTCTACCATAGTACCACCCTACTACTATGGTTTCTGACCCCAATCTCTTACCGACTACGATCCTTCTGACCTTCGTCACCTACTGCGGTCCTTCCGACCTCCATCGCCAAACAACGGTCTTTTTGACCCCTATCTCCTGCCGACTACGATCCTTTTGACCTCTGTCGCTGACTATGTTTTTTTTTTTACCTCTAATCTATCGAGTATAATCCTGTAGACCAAACAAACATGTCTATATTGATTATTGTAACTCCCACCATATAATAAACTCTATATGATGTACATTTGTGACATCAAGCCAAGGCCTTCTCCCAAGTAAGAGACTCATTTGTAATCGACTAAAAATACTAGTTGATTCATTCAAACTGGGCCAAGCCCGATGATTTTTCCCCCTTTTTAGGGGTTTCCACATAAAAACTCTGGTGTCTCTTATGAACGCTACTCCCTCTCTCTTATCAGCTTGTGTGCTGGATGTTAAACTTCATATTTCTCTACCGCCACAAATATTCTAGGACGCAACAATAACCAAAATCCTAGTGTTTCTTCTATAAAGCCCTTGCGATCTTAGCGTAGTGTGATTCATAAGACCTAGAAAGTTTAAAATTACCTATGGAGACCGAAGTAGTTGAATCTCACTCAAAAAGCCTTTAGCCTCTAATTGTTGGCCCATCGGCGCAATCCTAAAGTTTAGCCTCTCGTCGTCGGCTCGTCACTCATAGGGCACGCAAAGGAGAGAGTTCTCCCAGTCCCAGCCGTCTCCAATCCTCTGAGTAGTCATGAACTTATGCAATAGAATTAGGGCAGCTTCACGAAAACTTTATATAGCTCGATACGCTCGACTTTGAGGCTGTTAAGGAGTTGAACTCGAGCTAGGTCTCACGATTCAGCTTAGCTCAGTTACACCTCTAACAACGACAATCAACGGTGACCGATAACAACACACCAGCTTGCGATGAAAAAATGAAAACAAAATTCAACTAAAATTGTAGGAATTTAAAATACATAAAAGATGTGCGAGTTAGAAAAAAATATTTTATTTTATGTTTTCATCAAATCAATCACTTTTTGAAATCCCCTGTCTTCTTTTTATTTATGGTGTCAAAATGAATTTTCGGGTCGGGTTTGGATCCAACTCGAAAATGACCCGCAATTATTTTACAAGAAATGAACCCATCCCGCATCTAGAAATGAGTCAGAAATCTAAACTCGGACTGGACCTGGTCTCGGATGCAAAGTAGGTGAGCGAGGGTTGGCTATGGGGTTCAGAGCAAGGGCGAGGTGGGCAACGCGCGTGAGTGCGCAAGGATGGCGATGGGGTCAAATGCGGGGGCAGGGGGTGAGGCCGGTCACATGCAAGGCCCATGAGGCAACTCGCAGGTGCACGGATGCGGGACATAGGTTTGACACGTGCGTGACACGGTGCGGCAGGAATGCAGGACATGGGAGGAACGTAGTGTGTGTTGGGTTGGGGTTGTGGGATTCGGGTCACATTCAGGTTTTCAGATCAACTCGAATCCGACCTGATCTAAAAGTTGGTTAGGTCATTGAACACAAACCACTCATTTTTCGAACAAATTGGCCCGAATCCTAAATTTTTTAGATGATGACCAGATTAAATTTTGAGCCCACTAACAGCCCCAAAATAAACAAGAACAACTTAACCCGGCCCAGATACCGGCTCGCTGCCTCTCTCTCTCTCTCTCTCTCTCTCGATTCCTCAGCGATCTCCGGCGAGGGTTTTTATATTTGTTCTTTTTACAAATTTTTGCTCCGGTGGCTTTTCGCTTGCGTTCAAAAGCACAGGTCACCCCATCATCTCCGAACCAGTTTAGGTTCACTAATCTTCTGTTCGACTGAGAAATTAGCTGCTACTTCCTTCTTCCCTCGATGACATTGCATCTCTCTGCTGCGCTTTCCTTCGCCCTTCCGGTGCTACCTCCTTGCGATCGCTCGAGATAAAAGGATCATGTATGCTTTTGAAATGTTTTTCTTTTATTGTTTCTGTTTTGGCATCTCACAGTTTGTTTATTCTGTGACTTCTTTTTTTGCATTTTCTGTAATTAGTTTTCTGCTGTTTTTTTTTTCTTTCGATCTGCCATTGATTTATGGTTTTTTTTCACGACGAGATGCATTTGTACCTCTTTTAGACATGCATTTGAGCGTTCTTTCTCACGAGCTTGTTTGTGGCATTGTTACTTCGCTTTTCTCTCTTGTTTCTCGGTGAAATGGTGACTGATAATTTTTCTTTTTTGGGAAACCCGATTGGGAGCGTGATTTACTTCACTGATTGCCTTCTCTGAGCTACCATTGCTATGGTTACTGCAATCAAAAAGTTTATCTTTGTTGTAGCCTCGCCGTAATGATAGCTTCTTTCTCTGACATTTTTTTGCTGTTGTTTTCCTTTATGAATGTGCTGCTGTTGTTTTCGTTGTTTACCATAAGATTTAGCTATAGTTGACCATAGTGTGGATGCTGGTTATATTCTTCTAGCTTTGCCGCGCATAAAAGCTTTTTTGGATGCTTTGGCATGTTCAACGATAACCATCACCACTACTCATTATTGTATAGTTCAACAATCTTTTATGCTGTGCTAACAATGTTGCTACCATAAAGATAGAATTTTAGAGTTTTGGAACTATTTTAGTATCTAATCTCTTATGTATTCAGTCTCGCCAAGACGCCAACTGCATAAGCAGTGAAAGCTCTGCAAGTTGATGAGGAGGAGATGTTCTCAGGAAGTTTTGGGGTACTATCATTGTGCCTTAGGCACCGCTGCATTGTGCTTCGATTCCAGGCCTTCTCAGCTGCCTCCTCTCACACTAGTAGTAGCAGGGATAGCAATAGCTCCAAGAAGGAACTATTATTGACAGAAGAGGCTGCAACAAGGTTGGACGCTTATCGAGAACTTCAGAACCTTAATTTTAAATCTGCTGCCAAGATTCTCTTCACAAAACCTCCCAAGGGGAAGAAGTTTGGGCAAGTCTCTCACTTTTGCTTCAATTGCTTTAAGCGAATACAATGGTTAATATTTTGGAATACTTGATTGGATTCACCATGAATGCAGGCTCGACTTCCACCTTGTGCAGCTTTTCTTTGCTTGCTTGCCTTCTTTAGGTATTCATTTGGCTTATATCAACTTCTTTTCATAAAGTTGGAATTACAAAATGTCAACTTAAAATTGACATGTTTTTTTTTTCCTTTTTTTAACAGCGGTTTATTTGGTGGCTCAATATGCACGCTCTGAAATTAGAAGAATGGAGGCGGTAAAGCTGCGTTTCAATCTATGTTTTGTTCTTGTCTTATCTAAGTCATGGCAAATTGTTTGGTGCTTCTTCAAATTCTTTAACATGCTTCTAATTATATATATCTAGGTAAAAAACAAGAAGGAATTATTTTCTTAAAGCCCTATTTGCATCCAATTCATTATTGATCATATTCATGGTCAAGAGCCAGTTTTTCCTAATTTTTCCAATCAGTTTTTAAAGTTTGTGCGCTTTATTCTGTTAGCAATCTATATCTCAAATATGTTAGCGGGCATACGAATCACTTTGTGGCTAGATGAAGCAGAAAATGCTTCTCAGTTACCAAGAATAATTTCCATGGGCCTATGGTAAGCTCAACTAGCAGATGAGCTCATTGTGAGAGCATGATGTTAAGATAATTGCTATTTGCATGCTTTATATTTTTGCAACTTGTATAGTTTTGATGATTCCAAATATTATTGTTCAAATGTGTAGTTATCTCCTAACAATTTTAGAAAATTTATATTTGCTCTTGTGTGTACTAATATTTCAGGAAAATCAAACTCCAGACTACGAAGACTTCAAATAAAATTCAGCATGAGATACTTTGTGAAATAAATTTTAAACTACCAATTCACCCCCCCTCCCCCTCTTGGTAGCCTTGGGACACTAACTTAGGTTTAACAACCTATTTACTAGACTCAACACATGAATGTTGTAAAAATAAGTAAAAGAGAACGAATCTTGAATGGGAAGATTAATAGTGTTGGGATGCATTGGTTGCAACCGCAACAATTCATGAGGGGATTAGGAGGAGAGGTGAAAACCTCTTGCAAGAGTAGTGGTAGAGGATAGAGGAGTGCAAGATCATAGAATAGATTAGGAAGAAAAAAAAAAAGCCAGAGGGTGATGGGAAATATGAGAACATTATGGGTGAGAGGAAGTGTAGAAGAATGATGTTGGAAAAGAGTATGGGGAAAAGTAGGAGAGAAGAGGGGCGTTTGTTGTTGTTGACTTGTGAGTGGCGTTGGGAGAGTAAGAGATAAATATTTGTACATTTTGTTCATTAAATGATGAATATATTTATGTCTCAAACATACATATCAATAGCTCACGATATTGCCCATAATGTGGCGACTGGCGAGATGCACCTTAGCGTTATTCTTGTTGCAAGGTGTGGACTGTGGAGTGTTAAAAAATGCATGTTATTTGCACTATTGATGAGCTATAGCATAATGCACATTGATCTTGTGATGTGTGCTACTTTATTTCTCTATTTTATTGCTAATATTATTTAATTTCTATTCTTAATTAATATTAGTTTTTTATTGGAATTTTAATCTCTTGCTTATGATAACCCTCACGCACGCTGAAGATGACAACTCCTCTTTTCACCCTCTTTGCAAACATTGTCTTTACCTCCACTTTGTAGTCTCGTGGGATGGATTCACCTCATATTCACTCGTTTACTCTCGGAATGGTGACTTCTCTTCGCTCGCACTCTCTGCCATTTGGAGTAGAGACAACTTCTTATAAGGGCGAGGATTCTTCCTTGCTCTTAAACTCTCAGGACAACAATTGAAGAATGATGTGAATTCTTTCTCTTTGCGAATTTCAAAACTATCATACGTTCTTAATTAAGTCTAGCATAAACTACTCGTCTTCCTCTTTGCTTGGCACTAACTTTCCTCTTTGCTTAGAGAGATTATTACGTGTGGAGTCCGGACATAGAGAATCGTTCAATTTTGTGATTGTGAACAGTAAAATTGCAGCTACTATTCACCACAGTGCTTTTACTATTCACCACAGTGCTTTTACTGTTCACAGTCATAAAATCGAACAGTTCTCTATGTCCGGACTCTGCACGTAATAGTCTCTCCTTTGCTTAACATTCATGATTTGTCCTTCTTTGTGATGTGATACAAACATGAATTGCAAGGAATTAGGAAAATTGCAAGGAATTAGGAAAATTGTTGTAGAGCTTGCCACTTTAAGGTTAATGTATCAAAAGATTTTATTTTTGGAATTCTCAATTGTAATTTGCTTTGACATGCGATTACAAGCTAGGGTAACAATACAATTAAAATAGTAATCAAGAGTAAAGTAAAACTAGCTATGCCGTAACAAGAATTCACAAATTAATATCTAGAACATGCACTTTGAGTTTCCTTCACTCATTTTCTTTATGGCTTAGCGGAAGAAGAAGCTTAGCACTATTGACGATGCCACAAAAAGAAAGAGGGAGCTTACGATACCATCCAGAGGAAATCTAGCCGGAGTTGGAGGAGTAGGTGGACGATGTAGAAGTTGCCACTGGAATTGAAGATTGTTGTCGTCGATGGCGTCCGTCAAGGAGAAAAGTATTCTATCGATGTATTCTTCCATGGTAGAATCAATGCCCAAATTGATGTCAAAGAAAGGCGAGTTCAATACATCAATTCATTCTTGAGAGTCGAATACGAATCCGTGATCTACATCCAGATCAGCCGTGCATGGTAAGAAATGAACCAAATGGTGATGAATCTTCTTCCTTGGTTAGTATGTGAAGCAAGAGAGGAGGGAGGCAATGGGGGAATAGGGGTTCGGGAATTTCGGCTAGGGCTAGTAGTTTAGGGGGAGGGGGCCGGCAGTTTAGAAGTTTTAATGGGTGAATTTATTGAGGTGGGGGAATTAATTGGGGAGAGGAAAAGGCAAGGGAGGGGCCGACCAAGAGAGAGACAAAGAGGGGTCCAAGTGGATTGTATGTGGACCCAAGCAATAAATTAGATTGGAGATTTAAATCTGAAATTAATTTCATATTTGTACTGATTTAGGGGAGTTTCCTAATTTAGGGATTGTTGAGTTGGAAATAATTTAAAATTCAAATCTTCTTGAATTTGAATTAAAAAAAAGGAAAGATCTTCGCAAATTAGAATTACCTAAATTAGGAAAGCATTCATTGCCAATTGAAGGAGGGGTCTTGGGTTGGGTGGCAAGGTCGGCGGCTATGCTGGGTGGAGGGCCGACGGTTTAAGGTGGAAGGGATGGTTGGCCGGTGGGATTGAGGTGGTGGTTGGGATAGGGTGAGGGAGGTCGACAGTGTGTGGTGGAGGTGGAGGGAAGGGAAGTCGGCGGTTGGGTTTGGATGATGGACCGGCGGCTTGATGGGATGAGGGCGGAATCTGGCGGGTATGAAGTGGGGAAGATGATGAAACATGCGGCTTGGTGAGGAGAATTAGGAGGGAATAAGAAAATGGAAGAAAATCGAGAGCCTGGACTCCTCTGGCGGCTGTTGGGTAATGCTTGGCCCTCTCTTAGAGTTCTTTCTTCTCTCGAAAGCTCTCAAGAAAACAAAAGACAGAAATATAAATTTTTTAATTAATCATCATCTAATACAATAGAGAGTGCCCTTATATATAGGCCTTAACATAACAAAAGAAAGGACTAAGGTGCCCTCCGAGCTACAACATTGAGCTAACTACTCATAGGGGTAAAATAGGAAATACTGAAATATAAAATAAAACAATACATAGAATGCATAAAAAATAAAGGCTCATAATCGTAGCTGTCGATCTATGATGCCTCCTCTGATAAATGCGTCAGAACCTTCTGCTGATGTCCCCATCACTTTGCATGTGTGTTTACTATGTCTTTCTTTCTGCTTGACTCATTTTTATTATGTGTATATATTTTTTGGTTTGATCTAATTTGATTTAAAACTTCAGCCTAGTTTTATCTTTTTTTGGTTTGCAAAACTATAATATAATTATTTTATGAAGATTTTAGTCACATTATTTCACAATTTCATTCATTAGTTACATAAAAAAGAAAATATTCAAATTAGGCCAAACTTTTGGAAAAGTTCCTATACTCTTTTGGTAAGAAAACAACATGTAAGGTCTGTGGAATATTTGTTGTGGTATAATTATAAATGAAGAAATTACTCGTCATAAATAACATTTGATTGGGGGTTATAAAAATGCTAGAGATAGTGATAACTACCCTCCATATGTAAAATATGAAATTCGTTAAGTGTATGAACAAAGAGTTGAAAGATCAAATCAATGAAATGCCATATGATATGGATGAAGGAAGTGATTTTGACATGATGGGTGAGGACATTACAGGTTTTAGGCCATTAAAGTTGTACCATAAATCAAAACCAAGTAGTCCTGGTCAAAATTTAACATGTTTTCCATGGTTAAAGAATTGAAGGCTGACGGACTGTTGGATATATTTTAACTTAAATCCATGAAGCGGTGAAGTAACGAAATGGTAAAATGCAAAAGAAAAGAAATGAATACTATCGGGAAGGAGATGAGGGAATGATTAGTTTAAGTGTTTTGCTAATAGTCGCATAATATGGGTATTGGTATTCCCATCAATACATTTAAATATGATAACTCTTTGATATTGGTGGAGGCATTTGGACAAATTGGTCATAGAATGAAAACCCTAAGCTATCATGAGGTGTGGGTTCCGTACTTGAACAATGAGCTACAACACATTTAACAATTATTGCAACTTCACAAATAATGTTATTTTAAATATGATTGTTCTCTTTTGGTTGATGGTTGGACACCTCATAATGAAAAAACATTAGTGAACTTTTTGAGTAATTGTCTAACAACATTTATAAAGGTGGTTGATGCTAGCTTGAATTCAAACAATGCCATATAAATGTTTGAATTGTTGAGTAAGTATATTGAAGAGATTGAATCACATTGCATTGTTCAAGTTGTTACTGGTAATACCGTAGGCAATATTGTAGCAGTTAAGTGGCTCACTACATGGTCACACTGCATTGTAGTTATTATGGTTACCCTTTATATATTTATTTCAAATGGTTTAGTGCGATAAAGGCTTGTTGTTGTTGTTGTTATACATGGTTTAGTTATTTTTGTTGATTGGTTTGTAATATTATTGTGGGAAAATTATTGATGGAGAAGTATTTTTTTTTCATAATAGCCTCGTATGTAATAATTATATTATCGTCAAATTCCAACTCTTTATCATCTTCTAAATATTCTTCAATTATAACGTTTATTTTAACTCCCATATAAATTAACATTAGATTCAATGTAATATAAATTTTCATTCATTTCATCATCAAATGCATGCCTTTATTTTCAATTTTAAATATTTTACTATTTTTTGTTATTATCCATTCATCATTAGAAAATATATTATTAAAAACCAAATGATTTATTTCATCATTAGTTATTCGTCTCTATAATTTGAAGTGTTTCTCTTTTAATTTTTTATTAAATATAACACAAACATTCAACCTTGTTCATTCGTCTATAGCTAATTTGTTTATTTTCTTTGCATAATAGAATAAAGTATATATATTATTAATAATAATATATAATAATAAATTATAAAACATAACTATAATGAGGCGTTGCCTCGAAACATCTTGAGGAGTTAAGCTTCAAGGCGTGTGCCTCATTCAAAAAAAATGTAAGCCGCAATGGCACCAATGCGGCTTAAGCCTTGAGGCGCTCGTTGTGCGCCTCAGTTTGACTTAAGCCTCAAGGCATGAGTCTCGAACAATTTTTTTAAAACATGCTTGTCACTTTATGTCTTGTGCAGTTTTTGGTTTCATATGTATGCCAATTTGTTACTTTATAATTCAATAGAAAGTTAATTTGTTATTTTTAATATATTATTTGGGTATTATATAAAAAATCAGTTGTAACCTTTATTTTGGGTTTGAGACTTATGCCTCAAAACATATTGAGGCCTCAATATACCCAATTGCACAATTTTAAACATTGTTTCTGATTAAGCTGGCTTGCTGAGTTGAGTGATGGCCTACTGAAACTCAAGCTTTGATTACCATCTTAATACCACTTGCTTGTGAGCAAGTTGCCAAACCAAGTTTTGACTAGGCACACTTGCATCTCTAGGTACAGGTGACGGTACACTCAAAGGTTAGCAGCTCAAATTCAATTGAAGGGTTTATTAGAAAACGATTTTGGTAGAAATTTTTAAACAAGTGTCTGTATTCAAATTTTTCTTTGAATCTATTATGGTTCTGCTTAAAATTGTGTCATAAAATAAGATTCTAAGGAAACTACCCAAAATTTTTATCTAAAGTGACAAGCTATAACTTGTGAATACTTAATTTCAAGTTTTCCACAAAAAATTAATTGCACATCGAAAAGTTTATTGTATGATGTTTATGCAATATTTTCCCAATTTTGTGCCTCTTGATCCAGTAAAATTGAAGGAGATGTTGAATAATTAACATGCCTTACAACAGGAGCTTTGTGAAAGTTTGCGGGAGCAGTAATGAACTGTGTGGTTGTCCAGGAATTGAAGTGGCATGGAAAAGAATGCAAGAAATGGTTTTGTTACACAATTTTTAGTATCTTTAAATCCAGAAGTCTTGGCTTAGAAATACAATCGTAGCTTGAATTTTTTATAGCATGGAAAGGATTATATATTCCGAGTAACAATGCTGGTTCATTGGATTAATTAGAGTTTTCACATGCTCGCTTGATTAAGAGTTCACTGTCTTGGGTATTATTTCCAAGGAATTTGGCCCCAGAATGCGAATCAAGTCTTCTTTTCCTAACATCTCATCCTATACTCCCCATTCACAATGCTCAATTCCACACCAAGCCTGATCCTGGATAAACTTCTAATAAACTCATTCAACCTGTAAAGTTTTCAAGTAAATTGGAGCATTTGGCAAATGGCAGTGTAGTTGTAGCTCTAGTATCATTCTCCAGAATGGTCAAACTATTGATGGAGCCATTGTATTTTTTTTGGATTTTTGGGTCAATTAAAGGCAAAATCACATAGATATTACATACTGATTGGAAACACTTGTAGATCTCAAGTATTTCCCATCAATCATCGGAAAACAATGAGAATTCTCCACAAAAATCCACACAAAACCACGAAACAGTAGATAATTTGTATTATTTGATGAAAGGGAAATGGAAAATACCAAGATACAATTGATCCTCTTTTCAAGATGAGGATCTTGCTCTCCCAAATCTCTAGACGCCGCTAGAGCCCAAATAAACTAAGAGATCTCAAATTTCAGCCAAATTCAAGATGCCCTAACCATAGGAAAACAAATTATTTAATACATAGAAATCAAAAGGAAATCCCTAAACAGTCCCTACATTCAAATTTCCCTCCTAACTCCCCTCAAAAATCCTTCCTAAATAGCTCACGCGCGCTCGGGTGTGCGTTCGGCGCGTACAGGAGGCGGACATTTCCGCCTCTTATCGCGTAAGCTGGTCCGATCGGACCGGTCTAACACATACATTAGCATCAAACACAAGAACTCTTGTTTAATAGCCTAAACTCCTAACCAACATATCAAGATGAGCTGCGTGAGCTATTGTACATTCTTTTTTACATTGTATGAATCCCTGAAGTCCAAAATTGTCACATTTAAAGCAAGGTCTGGCTCTACGTGTTAACTTGCATGAAATGGTGAGTGTAACAATTATATGTCTTGATGACCTTTAATCATTATTGTCTTTTTGGTCTCCTCAAGAAAGGAAAGCCCATTCAGTGATTGTTTCAGTTAGCTTTCATCGAGTTTTTTATGTTAGCTAGAAAGAAAATGCATCATTGTTCAATATTTATTAGCATCAACGTAAGTGGCATATTTCTATCAAACAAATCTGACTTTGAATTGGAATTTGCGGTACCATACCTTAGAAAATTGGTTTTGTTGGTTAAGCAGGGCTAATAAGATCTCAGTGAATGACTAAGTCTTTGTCCCATACAGATTTCTTATTGCTTCTTGAAGTGACTTTCTAATTACTTCTTGAAATGATTTTCTTGTATAAAAAAATTATTTTTTGTAATAAAAAACTGCTTTACGAAGCAGGAAGAAAGCTGTCCTAAACGAAACCTAAATCTAATCAACCTTGATAGTCTGATCAACTGTAGCAGGTTTCTTGAGATACTGTACTCGTTCATTATATCAGCCAAAGTGCTTGCTAAAAACGTTCCCATTCACTATGCAATCTTTATCTGAAAGCCTTTCTTAGCTGAAATCATATTATACTTTTTATTCATTGTATTTTGGTAACATTTATATTTTGTCTTCAAATAAAAAAAAGCTAATCTGCTCTTCCTGCAGTGTAGTTCTATTTTCAGGTTCATCCTTCTTCACTTCTCAGATTTGATAATTAAATAATGTTCTACTTACTGGTTTAAGAATGGATATTATCTTAGATTATTCTTCTTATCTGATCTATCTGATCTGTCGTGAGATTCTTTACTCGCTGTATGCATGACATGGTCATTTTGCCCTTCTAAGTTGCGGAGAGTAAGGCTTCATTTGGGACGGTTTTTTTATTGCTTTTTAAAGTAGTTTTTAGTAAAATTTTAATTTTTATACTGAAAAGCTGCTTAAAGAAGTAGCAAGAAAGTCATCCCAAACAAAGCCTAATATTTCAAACATGCTGTTTCAGGAAGTAGAAAAGAAAAAGAAGGAAACGGAGGAGAAAGAAAGAGTGAAAGATGCTGAAGTGACCCCTACAAAAGAAGAACCAAACAAAGAGCTATCAGAGGTGAAGACTAGGCTTGATGCATTGGAGGAAGCTGTGAAAGAGATAGTTGATGAGAAAAGAAAAATCATTGATACTGAGCCAAACAGTACTAAAAATGCTAGAAATGTAAAGCTTGAATCCGCTGTCAAGAACTCTGAAAATCAAAATGAAGCCGAAGGTGTCGGCGGCTCGAGTTCGAACATTCAAAATGGCAAATTTCAACATAAAGATGCAGAGATTAGTTGGACCTCGACTACAGGAGCTAATAAATGAAAGGAACATTTACACACATACCACTTTATTTCATGCTATTTATATATTTAAAACTCAAAACATTAATATTACATGACTATCATCCATATACAACTTTAATATAAAATATATTACTCATACAATTCATTTTTATCATTCACACCATGCTATAAACTTTAATATTTTATTCCATGCACTCAAATTTGTTCTATGGATGGTAGTCTTGTAATATTAATATTTTGAGTATTAGATACGTAAATAGCATGAAATAAATTGCAGAAGGTTTTGGTGACCTGACTACAGGTACTAATAAATGAAATTGCAGAGGGGTTCATCTCCATCTATGCGTTCATGCATTGACTTGATAATCACCTTAAGCAAATGGTCATCTAAAGGTATAGCCAGCCCTGAAAGTCCTTCATTTCTTTCCATTATGGCTTTTGTTTAAGCATATACTAAATGCTTAATGCCACAAATTTGCCTGTTAAGTATTTAGCTGGTTCATGTAGGCCATTTTTTACTTGTTTCATGATTGTAGGATGAACAAAATGAGAATTTGAATGATAAAGCTCACTATGATTTTGTTGCAGATTTTATTTCTTCTCATCTGTTATATGTTGAATGAATGATTTGGATCATGTCACTACCTCTAGTTTTCTTATCTTGATGCATACTACAACAATAAGTTTTTCTCTCACTTTGTGCGGTCAGTTATATGAATCATTTTGCTTCATTGTCATGTTAAAAGTCAAATTCTTATCTAAATTTAATAAATAAAAATTATTTCTAATATTTTCCAAGTTTTTTTAGATCTACCTCTATGATTTATAATATAAGTAAAATCTTGATGCATACCAGAGTAGCTCAAAAACTTCTCAAAATGGGCAATGTCAAATGTTTTTTCTTAGGCCATCTCCAATCAAATGCTAAACTAGCATTTGTCGTCGGCAAACTGCTTCACCCAAACACGAAAACTTGCTCTATTCTTATGATGTGAACATTGACTCAATATTGGCTTCACTGTTCACAAACTTTATATTTTTTTTCAGTTGAAAAAAGAATATACACAGCATATTTTTTTCGATGTTATGAAATGGAGTTTGGTTGTAGATGAGTTATTGTATTTTGAAATAAAAGATGAATTTTTTGGTTGGAGATGCCCTTACAACCTAACACATCCTCTCTTCATCTACTACGCTCAAATTCCCTCTCTTGAAGTTGCTCTAGCATAAATAACACTTAAAAATCTCAAGGAGCAATATTTATAAATAAAAGAATACATAATTATAAAAATTATCCTAATAAATAAAAATTATCTCAAATGTCTTGCAAAACAAATATAAATTCTCTCTCATATTATTCTCTCCCAAACCACCTAAACCAAATCTCAATCAGAGTTCACAATACTTGTTTGAATAGACCTATTTAGAGATTTAAATTTCATATATCATCTAACACTCATGAATGGACATATTATTATTATTCTTATTATAAACATAAATATGCAATATTGATTATATTATGTAACATAAATAGTGATATGATGCCAAAAAAATGTTCCTAAAAATAGTCAACCCAAATAAGTAGCCTATTGTATCATGAAAGAGCTTTATGATCTCTCATTTCCATGAAATTATTATGTGCGGATACAAACACTGTCCGGAGGCAAATAAGAACGTGCCACATCATTCGTTTGCTGTATACCAAGTGACGTGGCACAGTCTGATTCACCTCCGAACGATCCGATGTCCGCACAGAATAATTTCTCCTCATTTCCTTACCAACCTACTCTTTCAAACATAAAAGTTCCTATTCTTAGGGCATTGAATGTTATAGCCTATAATGGTTGATGAAGACCTAGTAGAGTAAAAGCCTCATTCAAGAGTTCAACCAAGCCTGAAAATTTCAATTTCAAGCCATATCACTATCACCTAAATTCATCAACTAATAATTATTTTTACCAATCCAAAAATATTAAAACCAGTAATTCCAAGCTTCATAAACTATCAAAAAAAACATAATGAAACTAAACAATATCATTTTCCTTCAAACTGCTTAAAACTACACTTGACTCTCATCATTCTATAAATGTTCAAGTACCATACCAAGCACATAAAAACACACACACCTAAAGCAAAAGAACACATCATAGATCACCTTTTCTTGAATCCATATTTCTTCCTCTCATAGAAGAGATCAGTCTTGGCACTGCCAAGGTTGACAATCTTCGGGCAGCCGTCGCGATCTTTCTCCTGTTGCGTGCATTCCTTACAGTAATATGCATCCGAGATGCCGACGCCGCCGCAGATGACACAACGGCCTTGGAAAGAACCGTAGTTGCACTCGTCGCAGATTCGTACAAGCGTACAAGGACGAACATAGGAGTCGCAGACGACACACTTGCCATCGTCCTTCTCACATAGCCGACCAATTGCGATTCCGGGCTGCTTTCGGCACATAATCAAATCAGGATGATGCTTTGCCATGACCAGCTAATTCCTAAATGGGGTAAGAAAAAACACAAAGGGTTAGGATATCCTAACATAAAATTTTGATCATATTGGTCAGAAAAAATTGTATTATATTTAAACAACATGAAATTCATGATTTTGATTTGTACATAAAATTGAAAATAATGAAGAAATTTGTTGTAAAATAAATGACAAAATAATAAAATATTAATATATTTATTACAATAAGCAGAACAAATATCAATAGACAAATTAACATTGTATCAAATTTATAACAAAGCAACTGAGAGTCCAGAATAGAAACAAAATTTGGAGCATCAAATTTAGATATGCTCCCCAAATCGAAAGTGTTTTTTTCACACAATGAGCATATAAATTGCTGAATCTGATTGTGGGTGGGGTATATGAAGCTACTCTTGAATTAGGAACTCACATGCTGCACAGTGATACTTGAGGATGTTCATAATTTACACTTTGAATAAATAAAGATGGATCTTAAACAATATAAATAGACTAAGGCTTCGTTTAGGCTTCGTTTAGGACAATTTTTTTCCTGCTTCTAAAAATAGCTTTCTAGTACATAAATTAAAATTTTTGTACTAAAAAGCTACTTTAAGAAATAATAAAAAAGCCGTCCCAAACGAAGCGTAAGTTTTCATAACAAGAGCTATAACTTCAATAGCTATAAATTCACAGGAATCAATAGTTGTAGGCCATTCTATATCAATCATAACACATGTCATTCCATGTTTGAACTGAATAAGTTTTTCTTTCCTTAATCTGTACCTGAAATTTCTGACAAATCTTACCGTGGCAAAGAAATAAAAATGAAAGGATAACTAATCTTATGGAGCATTGTTCAAGTTGAAATACAGTAATAATTTGCAATGCCAAAACCCTTGTTTAAAAATCCTGCAATGGCATTTTCTTGATCAATTTTAATGAAATGCTATTTTTTTTTTTTTTTTTTTTTTTTTGGAAAAATTTGTTTTTTTTTTTTTTTTTTTTGCAAATTAACGTACATATTTTGTACTTACCATGATCACAGATTAGTTCAGCCTACCAAGAACTTCAGGTTCATAAGGAAAATCATTACAATATGGACAACAAAACAGTCTATATATATAATTTTTTCTCACATTATGAAGTGTGAACTAAACTTAAAGTACAAAATATGTAGGAATGTAGAAGTAGACCTAAAAAGACTTGGTTATAAAATATTAAAAATAATATTTCTTTATTAGATTTAAATGAGAATTTAACTTTTAACAAGGCACAATGGAGAAAAAGGATTCATGTAGCCAACCCCATATAGTCGGATAAAGGCTTGATGTTGTTGTTATTGTTGTAGTTGTACATAAAATTAAAAAACATTAAGGTATATATTTGTCTCTAATGATTGGAATAAGTCTAGATTTAATATTGACTAAGGAAAAAAATTTAAAGAGATTATTCTAATACTATATTTTGAAATAGTATGACCTGTGTTTCGAAGGTTAAATTGCTCATTAGTGAATATGTTGAGATTAGTAGATGGTGAAAAAAGATCTGCCACGACTTATAGATGATGTAATATATACAATCAATGATGCAATTAATAGTGCGTTTAGAAGAGATGAAAAAGTACGGTGAAATCTTTTGTATCATTAACAAGAAATGGATGTGCCAACTCCAACAACCATTACATTAGAATTTTTTATAGGAATAGGTTTACCCTATAATAATGTAAACAAATAATGAAAGGCTCATATGTAATTATTGATAAGTTAGTGGAAGACTCAAATGAGAGAATAGCCCTAAATTTAAGAAATCTCTATTATAGTGATGCCTAAAATTGAGTCTGTCATGTACCATAAAGATAAGAAATCTCCAACAACAACAACAACAACATCAAGCCTTTGTCCCACATGGGGTCGGCTACATGAATCTTTTTTCTCTATTGTGTCATGTTAAAAGTCAAAGATAAAAAATCTACAACAACAACAACAACATCGAGCCTTTGTCCCACATGGGGTCGGCTACATGAATCTTTTTTCTCCATTGTGTCCTGTTAAAAGTCAAAGATAAGAAATTTCCATGTATAATTAATTGAAGCTTCTATAGTTATAAAATTGTTTAATTTACTAAAGTTTTTTCTTAAATATAATATTATAATTTTAATACAACTGCGTGGTAGAAAATGCATGATGCATCAACCCTAATTGTATAAAAATTGGCTATTAAGATTTTATGATTGATTTGTAGTGCTGCTGGGCATGAGAGGAACTGTCGTGTCATTGAGTAGATGGATAATTTATTAACTTTGAATGTACTAAATTATTCAAATGTTTTATACATTTCATTATGAATTTTTTTTACAAATTCACACACAAAAAAAAGAAAAAAGATTGAATCAAAGGTGTCTAAATGATTTATTTTTCAAGTACAATAAAATTTGAAAAGATAATGAAATTTGGGGGGGGATGTTATTGATCCAATTAGTTTGGATTGTATTGATATAAGTTGTAAGTAATTAATTAGAGAAATGAAGGATGCTGGTAAGTAATATTTTAGCGTTGAAGATCTAATTTGGAGACATTAAAGAGACAATAGGAGAAGTTGATTGAAAGTAGTTTGTTAGATCTAGTAGGTCAAGAATAAGAGGACGTTTATGGACATCAAGGGCTAGTTTATCTCAACCTGTATTATTTGTAGAAGAAATATGCGATGAAGAAGAAGAAAAAAATAATGATGAAGAAATTCTACCTAAAGGAGAAAAAGTTACCATAAAAAAGAAAGAAATGTGAATGAAAGAGAATGATAACTAATAAATTACTTTTAGATTATTTTATGAAAGTTGAGACTTTATGCATTTAATTTAAGCTTTTGCTAGGAACCAAATGTATTTTTAAGAAATTTTGAAGCTATTAATTTTTACATCAAACTACTTACACTAAATTTAAACTTATAAACGTTTATTAATTCTTATGTATAATACAAATTATTAAAAATTTCAATAAGCAAGTTTACTTTAAAATTTATTTTCAAATTAGGTATTTGCATCATTTTTTCAATATCATATCAATATTTAAGTCATTTATTAAATATTCCAGATCTTACAATTACTAATGAATGCAGCATCATATTTCTATAAGTTATAAGAACACTAGTTAATAAAAGTGTCGCTTCACTGTGCATTAAAGTAAAAAAAGAACCAATGTATATAGCATTAATGTGCTATGTGATGCGCAAGAGAGTTTTGATGTGAGGATATCTCATCCCAGCAGGTGAAAACTTACAACAAAGATAAATCAAGGCATTCCACTAACCTTTTTCAATCACTTGAGCTTAAAAAAGCCTATACTTACTTGTCAAGAGTTGTGTATAGAACCAGGTGTTGTGCCAATATTTGAGATGTCAGCACCAGAGGATTCAACATATATCATTTAACATCATCAAGCGTTATGCATTGTACATTTGTACTAAATATACTAAATGATAATGTGATGCGCAAGAGTTTCTTTTTGCTTCAACGAGGGAAGAATAAAAACAAAGTGGCAATTTTATTAACCAGAACGCTCATAATTTATAAAAAATATAATAACAAGTTTACTAATAAATTATAAATATAGAGTATTTAATAAATGGTTAAAATTGCACATAAAATTGAAAAGAAATGTGATGAACATACTTAATTTGAAAACAAACTTCGAAAGTTAACCTACAAGTTAAAATTTCTAGCATTTTTAGTATAAGCTAACAAATGATTACAAATTTAAAACTACTGGATTAGTTTGATATAAAAATTAGAAACTTTAAGATTGCGTAAGAACATATTTAATTTATAGCAGTAGCTAAATTTAAATGCATAAAATCTCAAGTTTCATAAAGCAAACAAAGAAATCATCATTCATCTTCTTTTTCAGTCAAAAAATCTTTTTCAATTTCAAAGAAAATTTCTTATTCTTCAAAATTTTCTTTTTTTTTTTCTTGTGAGTCAATCTTATATTTTCTTACTAGAATAATAAAAGTGGATGCTAGTCAAGATGAGGATAAATCCACTCTTGCTTTTTACCGACTAAGTGTTAAAGACCGCCTTTGATTTATTTATCCCGATGCCTAAAGTTAAATCTTCATAACCAAAATGTTGCTCACTAACCAAGGTTTTGAAAACCGGACCGGACCGGCCGGTTCAACCGGTTCGACCGTGAACCGGTCTGGTGGCCGGTCCGACCCAGCTTCAGAACCGGCTCTGCATAGAGAACTAGAAATTCTTGTACTAAAAAACTGCTTTAAGAAACAGTAAAAAAGCTGTCCCAAACAAAGTCTAAATCATCAAAATGCTTTTGAACAAAATCAAATTCTTTCTCTAATAAATCTATAGAAAAAAATCTATAATGAAAATATGAAATACATAAAATATTTTAATTATTTAGCATATTTAGGATTAATAAATCATTTATCTGCTCCAAGGCACTCTAATTGCTCTCACACCTAGCAATATTGGAAGTCAGTCCTGAAATCTTAATAATTTATTTTTATAAAGTTGAGACTGATATTCCATATATTTCCCACGACTTTGTTGTTTTAAGATTATAATATCTCATTCAAAAGAATACTTTAATCAATAAAAAAATCTTTAAATTATATAGAAGCTTCAATTAATTATATCTAATGATTTTTTATCTTTATTATGGATGGTGCACTAACACATCATTAATTACATATAAGAATCTCATTAATTAGTCATCTAATTATATTGAAAAAAATATTTTTTATTAAAAAACTCTAAAATAAGATAATAATCAGCTTGATACAAAGGTTGTGATAGGAATCTAATCTCTACACAGCAAGAAAGTAATAACGAAGAGAGAACACAACATAAATTAACAAGAAATATTTTATATCGACACAAAAAACCAAGATACAAGTTGGTCTACTATTCGAGAGGTAGATCAGCTCTCCACAGATCCTAGGCGCCGCTAGGAACAACTCCAAAGAAAACTACAGCAAACACAATTCACATAATGAAAAATAAAACAACACAAG